CTCCACTTCCCTTTTCTTTTTTACTCTCCCCAAATCAAACTGATTCGCTTAAATTCAGCAAGTTTTGATTATGCCCCCTAGACCACAAGATAAAAACTAGAAAATCTACCATAGGCTTAAAATTCATTACTACATGATCAGTAACTACATGATTCTTCTCTTTTAACATCCCATAGGTTTCAATGAATCATAGACAGAAGATATCCAATCAAGGCTGAGAAAACTGAACTACCTTAAATGTCTGAATATCAGCATTTAATGACATTGTTAAAATGACATTCTGAACTTGCCAATATTCTTATATGTGATATGTTTAATATATAAATATCTAGGGGAGAGAGGAAATGAGAACAATTCATCTAATAATCATTTTTAGTAATTCAGACTTTCAAAGACATCTTAATAATAGCATGAGCTTACATTAATCTAGTACAGTACTGTTTTGAAATTGCTTTTATATTCATTACTTAAAGGATCTGAATGCTTTCCATAAATACCATATTATAAGGAAAATATTGACCTAGATATTATTGAGAACTCAATAGCTCTCAAATGGAATTCTAAAATACTAAGATAAAATATATTAACATTTATAAAAATGAACAGGATAAATTACACTGTAGATATAATGTATGAAAATTTTTTTCTGTTCCTATAACCATATGGTAAAATATCATATGCAGATTATTCAGATTAGGGGTAATGATTAGAAACATGGGCTTACAAATCAGGATCTTTGGTTTTAATCCCAGTTTTGCTGCTTATTAGTCACGTGACTTGAGAAGTTGCCCGAACTTCTGAACCTCAGTTTTCCTATCTTAAAATGAGAATGATAATAATATTAATAGACTGATTTGAAAATTAAATGTAATAATATGGTAGAGTACATAGTGTGACAGACAGTTTATCCCCAGTTAACATCAGGCATTGATCTCTATTCTTTTTCTCTTCTGTATCAGCAACCAGCCACTGCCTACTCACAAGAAATGGTATCACAAATGAGCAAAAATATTCACTTAGACCTAAATACACTTGATACTGCCATTGATGTTGATGATGTTTTAAGGGTTAAATGGAAAATACTGTCAGTACACGTAAACTTTTTAGTTCAATGTCATCTATTTCTTTTCCATTTCATAAGTGGTTCAACTATTACAGCTTACACAGCAATTTTGTGTAAGCATAAGTTCCAATATTTATCCCTATTTTTCTAGCTCTAGTTAATTTTGGAATAAGAATTACAGATTATGATATTAAAAATTTCCAACATAAGGAGAAATGTTTCATTACATTTCATGTTTTTATCACTACTTTAGTAAGTTTAAAAAAGTACAATGTCATTCAGATACCATGTCTGAATGATGTGCTTGTAAAGTAACATTTACTTTAAGATCTTCTAAATTTACTCACTTTCTAAGCTTTGAAACATAATTTCCTGAACAAAAGATGCTTGACAAACACATACTACTTGTCTTTGAGAGCCATTTGTTCTTAAGTGGGCACAAGTTATTTTCCAGTGCTTTAAAGTTTCCAAATTCTATTTTTAAATACTGAGCTAGAAAGAAATACATCATTATGGAAATAACAAGAAACTTCAGAAAAATGAAAAACAATTAAGAATATTAGCACAACTTATCCATTAAAAATCAAGTGAAATTGACCCCACCTAAGCTGATTTAACCAACCCTGTATTTTAAAATATAATATATATGTTAAATGATTTCAAAACCATTGCAAGTGAAACCAGATATTAAGTTTCCATTCTTCATCAAAATAAGAATTATTTGTAATGAATACTAATATAAATGATAATATATCAATAGCTTACTACATTATTGTAGGATAATAGAAAAATACACCTCAGTAAGATCTAGTCTTCTTTATTCCTGTATAAAGTAGAAACTCTACATATAGTATTATATAACATAAATTAATATAATTTATATTAGTAATATAAAACTCTACAGTCTAATGTGACTTATTTTAACAGTGAATATTATTTAGGAGAGTGAGAGTACATTGATCCAGTCTTTCTAAATTCTAGATTCCAAGCTCAGGAACTAGAAAGTACATACACTAGAATAAACTACTCTTCTTTTTTCATGGCTCTTACAAAATACAATATTAGCTAATTCCCAGCTCTAACATTTCTACTTTTCTTGAAATAAAAGTAAAGATGTATATGTTTTCTAGTTATTTCATTTCCTTTGCATCAGTGTAGAGGCAAACAGTTTGAAATTGAATTTTTTAAATGTAAAAACAATTTGCAAACAAATTAATAAAAATATCATTTTGCCAAGATATTAATCTTAACTTAGCTGTAGTATAGTGGCCAAAAGTAAACAACACAAAGCCAGCCACATCTTGACATTCTAAGATTATACGTGAAACATGTAAAAATACACTCCTAAAAGATCATACTAGTTTATAGATTTAAATACATGTATCAATTATAACACTAAATTGAACTGAAAATTCCACATATTCTGACTTTTTATGCTTCATAGACCATTTCAACATCTGACATTAATTGCTTAACTCTTCCAAGTAATTAATTCTTCATATAATTAACAGTAGATCTGGATAGTGCAATTTGCTCATCATGGTTTCTTTGCAATTAATCCATATGAATTACCTGTATTTTTAAGTTTTAAAACACCAAGCTAAGATAGCTTAATTCCACATTTAAAAAAGAGAAACAGTTACATTTTTCTACAACTAGTTATTCAGAAAAAAACGCAGCTGTCATCTATACCGAGCTTTAGTATGAGAGGCTATTGAAATGAAAAACATAACATTGATAACATTCAGCTGACATCCATGGATACCTGGCTGTAATAGTTGACAACAATTTGTATAACCCCTCCTGTACAATTTGAAGTGTACTTATAACTCACTAAAATATGGATTTAAAACTTAGAAGCAAAATTCATTAGTGTTAGAGCTGGAGGTGGAAGGTGAATTCAATGTGATATCTGTCTCCAGGGAGCTTTCAGTCTAGTGACAAAGACATGTACACAGTGACCCCACAGCAATATTGACTGCCATACATATGATAATGGAGGTACAAAAGAAAGGGTAGAGACGTGAGAAATTCTGCTCATAATGACTGGGAAAGACTTAACTTTGTCCATGAGGCAAAGAAAGATTTCAACTTCTAAAAGAAGGAAGGGCAGTCCACCTGAGAGAAAATATCTCTGTGCTGGCAGTGCATTTAATTTTCATAGGTAATGATTGAGGTCATAACACGAGAAAGAGCAGAACTATTACTAGAATTAACTTCCGGGTCAGGATGATTCCTGCTGTACAGTATAGCTTCCTTTCCTAGATGACACAATTTCTGTTCCTTCACAGTGATCTGTACCTCCCATTTATCCCACCAGGTGGCCTCACCCTTTACAGGACTTAGGATGTACACAAAAAATAACACAGGCATCCATGTCCTTATTTTAAAACATGCTACATTTCACTGTGGCCAAAAAAATCAAACACATCTAGGTGTATTTTTGTCCCCTTTCCTCCCCATTCTCCATCATTTCAAAGGAATGGGAGATAGCGCTGCTGCCATATGGAATGCGCAATAAAAATGTATTCCATTTCTTTAAACCTTCCAGTTTTCTACTTCAGTTTGTCAAGTGTTCTTAATTCTAAGAAATCATAATTCATAACATGGGGGAGGTTGCAGATTTTTGGCTCAGGAGATAGTGCAGATGTTATTCCTTAAGGAAGACGATCGTGATTGCTTATGTGAGTAATGGCTGTGAGTCGGCTAGAAGCCAAAAGTTCTCTTATACCAGAATGTATAAACCATTCTCCTACTGAAAGAAGGTCCCCAGTAGGATAATATATTATTACACATGATTCAAATTACAGGATCTGCAGCAGGGGAGTTTGGGACTGATTCAGGACAGTCGCCCCCCTGAATACTGATGATGGGATGATGGAATGCCACATGAATTAAAAGAGCCATGATTTCTCATCTAAATCCTTCATATGCTTTAAAAAGTGACTCTGCCTATCATTGTACTCTTTAAGCTTCTTAAATGAATCATACACTATGATGAAACCTTTGTCAATGTTCTTAAATTGCCAAGTCTTTGAATAATTATATTCAAAGGTTTCTGTAAAATAATAGACAATGAAACTTTACCTTTTATGCTAGAAATCTGTGTCCCTTTAATGCCAGTAATGTAATAAAGACATGATTTAATAGAAATTGCATTGAAGTGTGACCCAGTTTCACTCTTTGGGATTCTATAAAGCAATCTGAAATCTTCACATGCCACATGTTACAGCCTCTTTAAGTTATCTATACAACAGACTTTATCTCTGATGAGCTAAATACACATATACAATAAAAAATTATGTATCCTGTAGATAAATGAACTCACCCATGAATATTATTTCATTTGGTCTAGTTTGGTTATATAACAACCCCATAAATTTGTTAGAGGTATTACATCATGAATAGAGATCAGGCATATTTATAGAAACACCAAGGCAGATGTTAAACACTATGCTGTCTGAAAAACAAACTGCTTTGCTACAACATATTCTGAAATAATATGTAATCTGGTCCCTCAACTCCTTTTCAAGCTGGTTCTTGTATTCAGTATTTCTAGTAAATGGATGCAAATCAGGTGCATTGTGCTGCAATGGGAAGGGGGAGATCTGTCCAGAAATGACCTCAGTTCTATTCATTAATAAAATGGCATGTTGGCTGAGAGCAGTGAAGAATGAAATATAGCAAGACTGAACTTTCCTCCATGTGACAGATGCACATAAGTGCTTTTTGGATAAAGCACTGTATGTAAAATGGCCACTGCAGCACAAAATCTGGAAACATTAAAGGCAGCTTTAAGATGCAGATCGCTTGGAAAAACTGCAACTTCCATGGCAATGCACCCCCTTTTCTCTGTTGCCTTGCACATGTCTAAATCCCAACTTAGAGAAAGGATGTATTCATGAGAAAAGGAGTTAGGTAAAATAAACAAGGGCTGTATTTTGTTTCAAACGTCATTTTAAAGAAAGAAAAGGTAATTTTTGTAAGTTCAAAATAAAATAGAATTGTACGATGACTCACTTCCAGTGACTGCAGGCACCAATGGGAGAAAAAAAGTAAAAACTATGAGAGAATGTAGCCACATTTTTGCATAGCGGTTTAAATTATGCCAGCAGAATAATTAATGGAAGGACCTAATATGGGGAGAGGGGTAGCAGGAAAGGGGGAGGCTATGTTAAACAAAGTTCATTACTGCATGATGTAAATGAGTTTCTCACCAGTGATGTCACTGATTGGCTGAGCTGCAGAGCTGGCTTCGAGCATGGCCGGATTGGCTGCTAGCTCTTCTGGTGCCTGCCTGCTTGGGCAGCGGTTGAACCAGATATTTTCTGTCTCTCTTGTTGTCGTTTGAAGCAAATCTTGTTCAGCCCAGCTGTGTCTCCATAGTAGTGGCACCCTAAGAGAGAGTCTCCCTCCTGCTTCCCACAGCTCGTCTGTGAGGCGGTCGCTGCTGTGAAATACCAGCCCTTGGCACCAAGCCCAGACAGCATTCTCAGATCCATCTATAACACATACATACAAAAAGAAAAATAAAAAAGCAGTTCTTTCATCTGAATTGCATCCTAAGGAGGATTAAGAAGGCTTCTATTGCTACTGATTTGTGTTCTTTCAATTTGATGGTCAAAATAGTTTTGAAATACAGTATCTTCTCATCTGCAGTAGAACACCATTGGATAAAATTGGTTAAATAGATGGGGGAAGATCCCCTTTCCCATGTTTACCTTGATTACAGAAAAAGATTCTTCTTTTTCCTCCTAAGCACCATAACTGAGGATTTTGGTCCCCTACCAGAATTTTAAACTCTCACCAGATTTCTAAGTACAGCCGAGTCATTATTTTCAGGTTAAGACATGGGATCTTAATTAGCATTCTTTTTTAGCTATGCGAAATGAGACAGGGCATGAAACAGAAATAATCTATGGAGAGGCAGAGAGAGAAAGAAAAAAATCTGTGCAGCTTTTACAGTTGAGCTGACACCCCCTCCTTCCCCACTCTCCCTCCACCCCCCTTGCAAAAAAAAAAAAAAAAAAAAAAAAAAGA